AATTAACAGATAAATAATAATGTATGGTGTTTGTGATTAGGAAAGATCAATAGAGGAGCAACACACAGAAAGAGTTATTTCACCATAAATCATTTAGGGTTTGGAAGGAGTTTTAAAAATCCAACGTGAAATACAGGGCCCGTGATCCTCAACTTGGTCCGGAATGCGGACGCATGTAGTCCGAACGGTCGATAAAATCGCGCTCAACAACCACATCCGAAGCCAGATTGTCCATTGTTGGTGTAGCCCTAAGCCCCCGACAGGCCCAAGCCAACGAAAGCTGAAACAAAAAGGCAAAATTCGGCTGTCTAGGGTAATACATAGCTGAGAAGGAGAGAGGGGGATAAACAGCATGTTGCGAAAAAATATGTGGAAAAATTTAATGCCCGAAAGTTTATACATATATCTAGATATAAATATATATGAGGGAGAAAATGGACTGGTGTGGATCAGCAGGATTGACATGACAGAACAGAACTGAAATTCAAAGAATTATGGGTGACAAAACTAATATAGGGTTTCAAATAAAAGGATTGCTTTCCACTGCGCCCGCTTTAAAGCTCGACCAATGTACTGATTGAAGAAGAGTTGAAAGGTGATCAATGATGCTCAATTAGAATGCGCCATGGATATGAGGAGGATCAAAAGGATCGAGATGAGAGCATGGAGCCAAAATATTAGGAACTCTGGGTAGTAAATCTAGGGCAATTATTAACGAAGCCCACAGGATTTCGAGTTAGGAATATTCGGTCACCATACATGTACATTTTTAACTGAAATGTAAGCATATATGCTTACAAAAGTTACAAATAAAAATAAAAATACTAATATGAGTATGTACCAAAATTTGCTGTGTTTCACTGATCCAGCTTTGAAGTTGAATCCGTGTACTGTATACACTTTCTAAACCCATTCTTATCAGTACACGGATTCAGCCTCAAAGCTGGATCGGTGGAACACAATTCAGTCCGGTACATACTTTTACAAGTATTGTGACCTAATATCCCGTAAACAATATGCTTTTTGAATTGCTTTCACACAATTCTCTCCGTTCTCTTTCGTGGCCTATTCTAACCAGGTAGCTATGTTCACGTTTTCAACCCATTATTACCTTCTCGATGAGAACCTACTTAGCAAGAGCCAACATGGCTTTCTTAAATTTCGCTCTTGTTAAACGTGTCAATTCGACGTTTTAATCCTTCTTACTAATTCAGTGGATTCCAATAAAACTTGTATAATAGTATACCTGGATATGACCAAAGCTTTTACCAGAGTTTTGCACCCATGGCTTATTACCAAAGACCAAACTTATGAGATAGGTAACCAGCTCCTCTCATGGCTTTCTTCCGGTCTTTCAGACAGCTCTCAGGTGGTCACGATAGAGAATGCTTCTTACAAGCCACAACTCGTTACTAGTGGTGTGATTCAAGGTAGTCTACTAGGCCCCTTATTGTTCCTTATGTATATTATTGACATTTCAAAATCCGTTCGTTATGGAACCCCCTTCATTTTCAATGATGTTATTAAAGTGATTTGCTCTTTCTGACCAAATAAGCTAATAAAGGTACTAGACAATATTCGGTCATATCTTCTTGCGCTTGATCGTTCATGTTCTTTGTGATCAATGACTTTTTCGACAAATAAAATTAGCATATTGTCTTTTCGATGTCGAGTACCTCCGGATTCTTTGACCATGAACGGTATTCCTATTGCCCATTCCACACCCGGTCGTGACGTTGGGCTCAGTTACGCTTGTTATCTTAACTTTTTGGAGCACTGTGCTTTACAAGTAGCCAAGGCCAGACGCTCAATAAACCTTTTCTAAAGGACCTTCAGTCTGCGCGATAGCATAATCACTTTGTATAAATCCCACACTAGGCATTTGTTAGAGTTTTCGTCAATGTCGCACCCCAGCATGAGAAAGCTGGATAGAGTAGCCATAGAGAACGTCCAGCGAAGATTTACTGAACTAATTCTGGCCTGGACCTCAGACTTGGACTTAATGGAGCGATGTCACTTCTTGAACCTTGACCCCCTATGGTTACGCCGTACAAAGCTAAACCTTACCCTTCTGCACGGACTCTTGTATAAGCCGACCAATTCGGTACATGTAATGCGATTTCAGGTTGATCCACCATACCCCATTCGTAATCACGTAAACGTCCTTCCATTATCTAATGATTGAAAAAACACCAGAAGAAACCTTTTTCTACTTTTTTTATTTACGCCTATGGAATAAAATTCTGGTCGAAATAAGGCAAACGTACACCACGGCTTTATGAAAACACATTCGTCAATTTATCACTGTACCTCGAATGGCCAAACTGCACAATCATCAAGACGAGTCATTAGCTGGTGAGAACGGGCTTGATTAGTAAACGTCGACCAAAGATCGCAGGATCCGAAATATTGTGGAACGCACTTAGGAAGTATTGTGACCTATTATTCCTAAATTGATACACTGCTGACCCAGGTTTTAATTTGACTCATAAGGCTGAATTTTGTGGAACATGCTAACCAGGTAGCATTGTTTAGTTTCCAAGCTTAAATAGTATTATCACACTGATTCATCTATAAAGCTAGATCAGTGGAACACAAAAGTTTCAGGATTTGCAGGATGTATCCATGGTCATTTCGTTGCATCTGTATATACTGTGTATACTGTAGTCAAAATCATTCTTATATAGTTAGTGAGATAACTACCGGGAAGTGAGACATGATTGCTAATCACAACGCACAACACAGTACCACAAAGAACATGATAGGGTGCGGGAGGGAGGGAATCACCAAGGCAAAGCTGTGATTAACCATCCACGTTGTTTGCTTAGATCGGTTTTGAGCGTACGAATGGCTAGAGCCTCGGCAAATTTCAGTAACTTTGTGTTTATTGTGTTTTAGGTGACCTGAAATGCGTGAGTTCGATTGACACAATTTCATCGAGAGCGCGAAGTATGCTCAGAGGAGTCTTTAAACGACAAAATTCAGCTCTTGAGAGAAGTTTTGTACTCAAGCGGATATTAATTTGCATTCATCGACAAACATTGCAAAGCAGCACAAAAAGTAGAAAAATCAATAACTGCTCCCAAACTGGAAGCTTTTTTGAAGTTATCATAAAAGGCGATGACGTGATGGAATTAGTTGCCTAAGTGATCCCCCTTCCCGGAACCCTATCATGTTCTTTGTGTTACTGTGTTGTGTTGTGCGTTGTTATTAGCAATCATGTCTTCACTTCACGGTAGTTATCTCACTAACTATATAAGAATGACTTTGACTACAGTATACAGATGCAGCGAAATGACCATAGATACATTGTGCAAATCCATGTCTATGACTCCTTTATTTAAACTCGTGAGGGGAATACATGAGTTTTGTCATCCATAATCCCTAACGTTCTCTATCATTCCCCCCATATCCACCCGTCTGATCCATTTTATCTCAGTGGCGAAAGCTGAGTAGCCAGAAATGTTCACTTTTAACCCATTTTTAATCAGTAAACTGGTCGAGCTTCGAATCTGGGTCAGTGGAACACAAACGTTTCACGTGGAAAACTAAACTGGGTTTGTCAACCATAGTTCTTAAAGTTGTCAGTCCGTTCTCTCATTTCTACCCGTCTGATCCATCTTTTCTCCGTAACACATGCTAAATATGTAGCAGCGTTCATTTTTCAAATGAGCTCCTTCCGACCTGTCTTCGGTGCACCTTGTTCTGTTACATATATATATTCTTTGGACCTTGGAAACTGTTTATTTATAAGCCATTTGGTGTCTGAGGGTCATCAGAAGGCTATCCGCATCCTCCGGCAGGTCTAAGTCCATTATTGAGTTGTAAGCCTCCTTCGTTAGCAGATTAACCGGCGCATCTGCCCGATACGATGACGGAAACCGGCAAACAGCGTCGTACCTGCGATTCCCAAACGTCGAAATCTTCTCCAGGTACGAATTTCTCCGGGACAGTGAGCGGTGGGATCCGTTCATAAGGTAACGCGGTCTCCATCTTTGCCTCCACTTCTGCGAACGGACCGAACAATCGGGGAAATGCTTTTGCCGGACTGGAAAATCCATACATCTTTGTGTACGATGTTAGTTTTTTTCGGGCCCGCCGTGGGTGCCAAACCTGTATTACGCGACTAGCAGCAACGTCGAAAGACAAGGATGCATTAGTCAGCGCCTCACGATACCACTGCCCTCAGCAGAAGACAGATGAGTGAAGAAGCGTCCATTTTACTGGAAACAACGTGTGTATTATAAAACTGTAAACATAGGGGAAAGTTCTGGGGAAGACACAGTATTCAGTCAGAATTCTTTGGGTCTTTCATAGGTCGTTCAGTGGGTCCTGATTGGTCTATTCAACTCAGCCTTGAGGTGATTTTCTCCGACTGTATGGCCTGTGCGAGAAGAAGGGTGAAAAGATGGCGGTTAGTTAAACAATCAGGTTGGCTGCCCCCAGTCAGCCACTACACAGTACTCGATTAAATGACCTTGTTCGGCTTGTGTTTCATTTTCACTGTATGGTGCATTCACGCTATCTTTTGTGGCCGTTTGAAAATTTCGTTGTTACACTCTGTACTATTACTTTTTCTTTCCACTGTCACTATTGTCCATTTGGTCATGCACACAAGCATGCTTCACGGGCTTCGTGAAATGTAACGATAATAATATTATCAATTTTTCAAAACTTGGGTCAAGTTTTCTCTTGCTCTTTGATTTCCGTTGACTAAGATATCCCTCGTGAAACCTCGTTTCTTCTTCCAAATGCACCGCTCCTTCACCAGCTGATCCTCTCCGACTTAGTACCTTGACTCCGAGAAAGAACACAAAAACGTTGTTCCAAATGTTTTGCTGTTGTGTACCTTGATAATTTTTGGCGTACAATTATTGCAACACCTTTAGGATAATCACCAAAAAACTACCAGTACCCAGTTTAAGGAGCCCCGTATGCAGCCTGGCACCGACAGCAAGATGGATGGGGACTTCGCAGGGTACGGAAGTGCCACTGAGGTCAGTAAGAAACCCAGCGGCTACCATCACGCCGACTAGGGTTGAGCCAAAGCATCGGGATGAGGGTGCTAGCCAAGTGAAGGTAGGAACACAGGTGGGTGTCCCAAAAAACGGACGCAGCGTTCGGGTATAAGTCCCGAGCGACCGGTTTTTCCCCAAGGAACCAGGGCCACGAGAGGGAAGAAAAGGCCTACGCGTTGTATATACCAATTTCGCGAATGGTAACAAGAGGCCAGAAGTGCAGGCTCGCGTATCTGGAGCAGATACCATTGTGATAACTGAAACATGGTTAGACTCGAGGGATGACATTAGATGCCAAATACCGAGGAACTATTCGATAAGCAGTAGAGTAGACCGGCCGGCAGACAGGATAAAAGGTGGGTTTGTACTCTTGGTAGCTGACCATCATGAGCAGAGGGAGGGTATAAAAATTGCTACTTCGAATATACAGGTCAAGAAAGTAACGACCAAAGCTGACAATAACGAGACCACTCTGATTGGTTTATGCCGCAGCCCTCGTGCGGAAACATGGGAAGACGACCAGCTACTTGCTTTCCTGGATGAAGTCACTGGGAAAGATCATGAACTCATGATTGTAGGAGACTTCAATGAGTCGGAAGTAGATTGGGCCAATAAAGTCCCCCCCCCGAAA